AAACCATTCAGTAAGGGGATAGTGAAATTGATACATGGGAAGAAAAGTCAAATCTTAGGGTAGATCTTGAGGTATTTAATATTTATTATGGTTCTTCACCAGCATAGTTTCAGATGATTTAAACTCTCTCTCTAGGACTGTGTAAATTGGTCTTGGGATGAAATCTCACCTAGGGAATTTTATGTAATCCAGTAGTTAAGTCTGATTTTTTAAAGTTTCCCCGTGTCTGAATGTTCCAAAGTGACTGCTGCATTTCTATAAAATGAAGGTTTAACTGCAGTGCACAATCTAAATGCAAGATCCTTAGATGGAAATTTAATTGTGTAAAATGTGCACTGGGTAATTAAGAACAAATTTTAGATCATCTCAGACTATAAAGTCCTCCTTCAGCTAGATCACTGGCTATATTGAAAATGCTTATTTTCAATTTGCAGTTATGCCGAGAAACAGAATATGTCTAAATTAAGAATAATAAAAAAAAAACAAACCCGGGGCTCTTCAGTATAACTGTAAATTTAAAACTACTAGCACATTGTTGATATTCTAAGAAACTTGATTCACCAAAAACATATTTTGAATTTGTATTCCCCACTTGCTTTCTTGCTACAGTATATTTTTTTCTCTTTATCATTTGTGACTTCATGACCATAATTATTCATGTTACCAACAGAAGCCATTTTTGTTGCTTTGTAAATAAATATCTTCTTTTTGTTAAAATACAGATGTTTCTGTCATGCAGTTGCTATGCATTTAGCAGTCATTATGATCACACCCCCCATACACATATTTATTATTTAAATTATAAAATCCAACATATTCAAATGCTGCTAACTCAAGAGTATTTCATAGGTTATGACTGGACAAATCAAAGATCAATAAGATGACACTAAGGAACAGTTTTAGTTTTACAGTGAAATGTTAGTAGTTTACTGTTATTAAAATGTATTCCCAATGGTAAATGTTTTCAGAACATTCTTTTTCTGCCTTTTACATAGTGAATTTCCCACAACGAACAGAGTATTTAGCAGTTTGCTGAATCTTAAGTATTTGGAATCAAAATGCACTTTTTTCTTTAACATTAAATAGAATCCTCTCCCTCCCCCATCTCTACGTCCACCACCCCCCCCCAAAATAAATAAAGCTTTTCCAAATCTTTTACAACACAGGCCGCTCCCCTCCTGGGAATGAAAAGGATGTGAGAGTCATTTGATGAATTGCTGGCGCTTATGTGCATCCACGTTTTTCAATATACTTTTTTTTTTTTAACTGGACTTAAGCTGCCTATATTTAAATGCTTCTTTTGTAAAGATGATAAAGAGAGCAAAGATTTCTATTGGCTTAGTCCTAATCTGTTTGCTTTGTTGTGATTCTTTTTTTTTCCCCTTTCCTTTAACTGTTAACCTATTTATAAATCTAAATCTACATACAAAGGTCATTGGTTGGCTGAACTTAAACCATTTTACTCAGTAAATTTAATTAAGAAAATACAGTGCAACTCATAAGCAAATGAGTTTTTTCCTAGTTTTAAACCAAACCACCCTCTTGAGTGCTGATTGCCTTGCCCGACCCCTGGTGATACAGAAACAGGCAAAATTAAAAAGGACATTAAAGCTTCATTAAATCTGAAACACATTTAGTACAGTGACATATCTGCAGGCCATTTCAGAGATTACATACTCTCTTTTGTAAGTTTCCTAATTTATAATACCTTGACAATAAAAACTGGGGAAATGCAAGTAGATTAATAGACCAGTAGGGGTAAAAGATACAGAATGGCCCCAGGTCCGTCTGTCTCTGAAATATTCACTCACAGCATATGTGTTCCCTCTTCCTCATAAGGGTTCAGTGTTTATTTTGACTTTTGACAGCCTCATGAGGAGCCTGTTCTTCATGCAGCCATATCTGCTAAGAGACCTTTTCCTTTCTTTCCTTCTCCTAATTGAACTTGATAAAAGGGTTCTAGGGCCTGGCTATATATTTCCTTCCGTTTTGCCACAAGACAAATAGCGGGGAACAAAAACACCACAGTTACGTTAAATCTAGAACGACAGGGACATACGTGGAAGGCAGCTTCCTCTCCCGGGGCCTTAAAATGACTGCTTCTGGTGCCAGCCTACTGGTGCCACTGCCAGTTTGCACTGGTGCAGAATTGTAATCCTTGGCCTCCTGCTGGAGCAACGCAGTGGTGACAGGCTGCGAGAGAGAGGAAATGATGGTTGTACCGCTCTGGTCAAGGACGAGGAACCATCCTGTGTCCTCTGGCTCCAAAGAGATCAGAGCTGCAAGATGCCTTAGAGCAGTTCTCCCAGGAATGTAGTTGACAGGCCTGAGATTTCGTAGGATGTCAGGAAAGTACACACAAAGCAAAGCCAGGCCTGGGAATGATGAGTTCACCAGTTCAAGCACTGCCAGCCACCTGGTTCCAAGCAGACTGGTACAGAGAGGCTCCCAGCTGACCAGCCTGCACTGAATTTTCTCTCTGTATGCATGGTGGTATCTTATAGGGTAAAGGAATGATAGCAGCCATCCTTAGTACATCATACCAGTTATGACAGGGGCACCAAGTAGATGAGTGCACATTCCCAAGTTGACTGTAGCCTGACCTCTCCATAGAACAATAATAACTCGAGAATTTGAGGCTTTGTGTTCAAGTGGAAAGAATTCATATTTTTCATTTTATGCCACTTCTTTTTTAAGCCTTCCATTTATCATTGCTTATTTAGTTCTTTAGCAAAAACCAGCGTCCCATATTGGTACCAGCCAGCTAACTTAGATTTTAACTGTGTGTGTCATGGGCAAGTTCTTCTGCCAGTAAGCCATGTGGACAGAATTCTTCCACGGTCCTCAGTGACACATGAACCATATACCCAAGTGAGTGACACAGGGCCTATAGAATGGCTTGAGATAAAATACTCTAAATGTTGTCTACTAGTCATTAAGTTGTTAGCTTTTTTAGATGAGAGATCCTCCTCTTGGTAGTTTGATAATTCCAAATGGAAGGATGTGCAAAACTTGTCATCCACTGATGAGTGTGATGATAGGTGACAGCTTTTCTTGAGCTGTCACTGCCGGTCAGGTCAGTGTAATGGTGCAAACGCTTAGCCTACCATTACTGCTGTGTAGACCACAGCAGCTCCCCCTGAATCAATGTGCGCACTCTCGTTGGCCAGAAACACACTGTATTTACAAAATATAAGGCAAATGGATTGCCTGTATTGGGTCAGATTAGAGTAGAGGGAGTGGAGAGCTGAGTCTCTCCCTTCATAATTTAAAACAGTGTGTAGACAACAAACATAATCACATGAACCTGAAAGGGCGTTTAATTAACATCCACACTCTCTTTCCATCATGCCATCTTGTGATGCTTTTGCTATCTGTACTTTATACTAATCCCTTGATGAATGATACTTACTAAATGAAATAATGGGAGTATAACTTTATATCTTGAAAATCAGTGAACTCTGTGAGTATATAAGAATGAGTACAAGGTAATGAAACTGACTAGGCATTGCAAAACACACATACATATATAAATAAACATCCAAATGAGTGTTGGCCTTTTCAAAGTAGTCACCTTACAAAGTCATATGGTTTATTCCTATTACATTGCTTTGCTCTGACTGGTTTTAGATCTTTAAAAATTAACCTCATAACCGCATCTTCATGTCTATCCTTATTAAGGAACAAAATATTTATTCTTCAAAGGTGGCTTTGGGTTTTGGTAATACCCACAGGCCATTCAAACCTTAGTCAACAAATAATTTACATGATCCAAAAGCTGATGTGTATAATTTTAAGGCCAAGATAAAATGCAATTCTAATAAAATGAAGTAGGTGTTCTTTTGTTATTTGAAATGATTCTAAAAAAGAGTTCAGTAATGTTTCCATAGTGTCCTTGTTTTTGAAATAAATGCACAACTTCTCAAGATGTAGAAAAGCAATGTAAAACTCTGGAAAGAACACTGGATTAAGTTGGCAAGGCTTAGGGTCAGGCCCCAGACTTCTCCTGATGAACTGTGTGGGAACTTCTTCAATGGGACTCTTGGGTTCTAATCTGTGAAATGGATTGATGCTCTTTTGGATTCATTCCAGCTTCAAAGTTCCCTGATATAGCAATTCTACTTTGAAAGTAGTTACAAATACATATAAAGGATTTCAGGCCTGAGGATGGGCTACATTATGAAGTTGCAAAGTTTTGCTGCTATTTTCTTTAAATATGTTATGGTACATTTGGTAAATTTTATCTTATTACTTTATATCAACTCTGTTCCTGGTTGAATCATTGTGTTTTTAACAGGTGAGAATTCTAAGACCAAAATTAAGTGACTGGCCTAGAAACACATTGCAGTTTACAAATCAAGCAAAATTGGAAGCTCTCTAAAGATCCACGTTCCCGATTTCAGACTTAGATCTATAGTTCTGACTTTGCAGCCTTGAAATAGCCACTTTTCTACTAGTGGTAGCTCTTTTTTTCCTGTGGATAGAAAATGAATGAAAAAACAAATAAATTGATGAAAATCGTGGCAAAATTTTCTGTTTCATTTGGCCCATTCCCCATTTCCTACAACAATGCCTATGTGCTTGTTACTAAAAACTCTACAGAACTGTGGGCTGGGAACAATAAGGTGTTTCCATCTTACAAGAGGAAAGCCAACGGTCTGCTCTGGTTTTATATCTCTGTCTAAATGAAAACTGTCGCACACAGGTAAATGTGAATAATGCCCATAGAGCTGAGAATGTTGCTAAGAGAAACCACATAATGGTAGTGTTTAGTTGTTAAAATTAGAATATTTTATGAGGGATGCAGTATTGCCCATTGAAAGTGTCCATTCTAAATACAACGTTTAATGTAATTACAGCAATAGTTTAGTTCCTGCATCCAGGGTTGAGAGCTTTTTATATTTGCTGGGTATAGTTCTGAAGTTTAGTACTTGTCTGTCTTAAGGAGATCTGCCCTGCATGCAAATCTATAACTAGACAAATATTATTTCCTTTCCCAGCTTGCTCTTGGGAGGTTTCCATATCCTCAGGTAAGATTGTTCATTACTGCCGTTTGCCACTGTGACATTCATTCCTATGTATGAAGGTGCAAGGAGCAATTGTGAACATTTGAGCCACATACAAATAAATCTGTCCTGTTAAATTGAAAAGTGATATCTTAAAAGAGTCATTTAGAAGTCTCTTGATTTTTGATTTTTTTTAAACTCCAGATTTTTTTTTTTCTCTTTGTTAAAGGTTGAAAGGCATCATCATGCTCTTCCTTTGTGTGACATTGGTGATGTTTTTCCTTATCCTAGCCCAGTGCCGTGTGCTCATACTGAGGTTAGAGAGGCACAGCCTTTTCTTGATACACTGTTTGAGCTTTTGGTTTCAGTTAAAATTATTTCAATTAAAGGGTTGAGATGAAGGGTGAAAATACCCGATCTAGATCATTATTTTTGCTAAGCAAATAGTCGGGCCCCCGATTTTATGGGGGTGTGATTCTGAAAATACAAATTTTTTAAAAATTTGCCCATTCCTATCCACATTTGTAAGAAAACAAACTGTCCATTATATTACCATTGCTGATGATAATCTTTATAATTTCTTTAAGATTTTTATTTAGAAGGGTGCTAGCACTTAAAATATAAAGCTGTTTTGTGGTTTGAAAGTCATTCCCTGGTGGGCAGGGGGCAAAATAAGTGAAATGTCTAGAGGGATGAAAAATGCATGGATTGACTGTTTTCCTCTGGTTGGTGCTCCCTGTTTTTCTGGCATCTTGGTCTGTACAGGCCAAAGTGCCTGGAGGCATGTCTGATTTAAAGGTGGTGTTGGTCTCTGCTCTTTAAGCATCTATTAACTTGCTATTATTATGCAAATAAGTGTTGTATTACACATACTAATTTATGCATGGTTAGATTATGCAGATGCATCACAAACATGGTTATTGAATAATAGGATGGGGCTCATTCACTCTACCATCTTTATAAGCTGTTTTAAGCGAATTCTCCTGGTACCCATGTGGACATTTAAAGACCCTTCATTTGCTGAAATGTGTCTTTTGTATCCTTTTTCTTTTATAGTTAAAGCCATCAGATGAGTGGGAGAGAAATCATCTAAGTTATTAGGTTCAAGAGTGTTACACTCACTTGCCAAATTTGTAGGTTTCTTTGTTTAAACATAATCTTTTCCTTAAAGAGAACATCTAAAATGTAATCGCTTGGCATGCATTCTAGCATTTAGTCAGATTTTAGTGTATACAGCCTTGCTACTTAGCTCTAGGTAGCCCATCAAATTAAAATCACATTTTCAGGATTTATAGCTCATTAGAATATTTATCTTGGTAAGCCTCTAATTCTGTCAGTAATTTTTAAACAATTCACTGTTTGGCCAATTTTTACAATCCCCTAAAATTTTGTAAACGCAGAGACCCTGTTACAGTGTATCTCTCAAAGAAGCCTTAGTAGAAAACTTGTAAGCCATCTCATAAAAGTGCCAGAGATTGAGAACATAGCTATATTCTTTAGATTCCTCATGTGTTGAGTAATTAACCAGTGAAATTTGGTAAGTGATGAGTCTAAGAAACGGATTGCTGTTGCATTTGACAAACGAAGCATTTGGATGCTCTGGTCAGATTTGGGAAGAGGCTGTACACCTTTGCAATTCTGTTTACTCAAATGTTTAAGTATACATTTACTTGATCAGTCAAGTGGAAGCTGGAAAATTCTAACGTGCTGGACTCCCTAGTTAGCAATAACCTTTATGCCAGAGTGGGGAGAAAGCCATATTCCCTGAATCGTGATAGAATATTGTCACCAAACTGGGACTTTTATTTGAAATAATAGAAGCAGCTTTGATGCCATTAGGCTTATTTCCCAGATCTTTCAACAGAAGTTTGTGTGCTTCGTTGGCTAGAATCAGTAATGACGTTTGGTGGACTTGGCATTTATTTTACCGGTGTTGTCCGACAGACTGGAGACTGGGAAAGGGTCTGTATCGGTGTCTTTCCTGCCCTTCACTTTGTCCTGAAAGTACATGAGGAACAATGTTCATTTTCATAGTATTCCAGACACTGGATTATGAATAATACCTTCTTTTTGGCCCATTGTATTTCATTTGAACCCCAAGCTACTCTGTGAGATGGCATCCCCTCATAAATGGGGCGTGCAGAATGGTTGATTTGCTCAGTTTTGAACTGCAGTGGGGTTGGTTCCATGGAATCCCAAGTACAGTAGGCAGGAGTGAATCACAGACATCATCGATTCAAACCTCTTACCATATTTCTGGAAGCAGACATCCACACTCTGCTTGAATACCTCAAGTGATAGGAAACCCATCTAGTCAAAGCAGGGTTCTGTTTACCAAGCTAAGGACTGACTGCTTCATCCTAATTGTCACCTGCTGGTCTGGTCCTTGAACACGTGAAAGCCTTTCATAGATCCTCATGATCACATAGTTTTGCATCCCTTCTGTCCAGGGCTGGAGACAATCCCAAGACACTGCTACTTTGAACTCAAAGTCCAATCAGGGCACCAGATTTGAGCTTTTCACTAATGGCAAGTTGAGAAGACCGGGCTATTGGACAGAGCTCCGGACCAGGAGCCAAAAGATGAGAATGGGAACCCAACTCTCCCACAAACTGTGGTCACCATAGGCCATAAATTCTTGCTTTGTAACTCCTTGGGTCTTTAGTTTCCTTAAATCTAGAATGCGGTTCCTGATACCTACCTTTCCTATCTGGTTAGAGCAAGTATGCAGATTAAATGTGCTTATGGCTCTGAAACCACTTGAAAAGTACCAAGGGCCAACCCACCGGCCCTGATGTTGGGCTGTAGCACAGAACAGAATTTCTAATCGTCAACCAAAGTTCACAAAAGGATGTGCTTGGCAACCTGCCAGCCACAGCTGGAGCAGAGCATAAACTGAGCAAAGAAGAAAGCAGGGAGGAGAGGCACGCTCGGAGACTTGTCCCCCACCGGCCCGGCATCAGTGCTGCTGACAGTGTCGTTAACAGCACCTCTTCCTACTGGCGACACAGTGTGTATCCAGTGGGGATGCATGATGAGGGAAGGGTGTCTGGAAGGTATCACGGAGAGTTGGTGGCCTGGGACCAACATAAAGATTAAAGGACTGGATTTTTGTTGAGATGATCATTCTATAGGAACTTCTTGTTTTGTGCATTAGGTTTTTACTCATTCCTGGGAAGCACTGTCTAGTTTCCTTTCCTTTAGGCCTCAAAGTTGCATAGCCTCATTGGCATGCAGTTTAGGACCGGATAGAACAAAAGTTTAGGAGCCACTGTAAGTACACAGCCGTATCACTGCAACTTATGATAGGAACAACAGTAATGTCTTGGATCCATCTAGCACCTTTCAACATCAAGCTTCAGATCACTTCCTATTATCTGATTCAGACTGTACATCCCACCCTCAGGGGCTGTAATTCCCAGCCTCCAGGTGAGCAGACGGAGGCCTGGACATGTGAGGCCCCTTGCCTGAGGGCTGAATGGGTGCAGTTAGGCCCAGGACTTGCAGGCAACTAAACCAAATGCCTGGGCTCTGTGGACTCTGAATGTAGTTGGCTGTTCATACCACTCTTCTTTGTCCCACTGAGCCTCTCCAAGGCCTCCTCCTGGTTTGCCTTCTCCACTCCAGGAGGCCTCTTATGTGGATGAGAAATGCTAAACATCAGGAGCCATGCAATGGTAGATGATGACAAGGCCATTCTAGAGCCCTTTTGCTTTTCCTACCGTGTATTTAGCAGAGGGACAGGAGGGTCCAGAGAGCTTCAGAGCTCTCCCTGACCCCAGTGCCATTAAATTCTGGGCGCCTGTGAAGCAGTAGGATCATGAAAAATTGTGTTTTTAAACGTCTCGCAACCAAAAAAGTATCTTCATTTCTTGAATAATTTAGCATTAACAGTAATCTGGAAAGAGGTGCAGGTCTGGACAAGGACTGGAGCTGTGTATAGTTAATCATGTAGATCCAAATTCAGTTGACTTAAAAAACATGACGGTGGGCGATGGTTTGTTTAATGACACCATAATTTAGGAGAAATGAAAAAGATTGCCTGCTACAAATTGTCATCCTTCATTCAAACTTTACAATAGTGCCCTGCATTAGGATGTTAGTAAGTCCATTAAGGAGACTTCTCAGGGGGTGTGTCAGCTCTGGCATTTGGAAATTTGGTGAGCAGGATGCCACAGGAAAGTGAAGGTAATACAGGTACAAATGTACTTAAAGTACTTTTGTATGTATAAAAATGTTGTTGTTCTTTTGGCTACAATTCCTGATCTTGGTTAATAAATTACATCAAAATGACCTGAAGTTAAAAAAAGGAAAAAAATCTGAGCAAATAGTGCCCCTGGTATTGTAAAGCTTTGAATGTTTTCACACCCCATTAATTTATTACTTCTCTTTCTTCATCTTTAAATTTCATTTTTTTTTCAAAAATTCCGACTCCCTGCTGCTGCAGTGATTTTCATCTTGTTGTTAATTTTCCCTGCTCCATATGGAGCTCCAGACATTTCACCTGGAGGCTGTACTAGATTTTGTTGTAGTGATCGTACTTCCGGAGGCCAAAACTGTCATTTAGGGTTCCTGGTGCATCTGTCTGCGCCAGGCTTTTCACTGGCATGGGAGAGTGTGAATAACAAATTGGATGCACCTGAGATTCAGATGATTAGTGTGTTTTGTGAATCTCCACGACTTGTAAGCAGATAGCTCTGGGGGGGCAGGAGGGTTGTACGGCAACTGCGGGTGAATCTGTACTCACACCTTACATTTGGGGCTTCGCGAGGGAAGCGCAAACGTCCCAGGCAGTCTGAGTGCAGAGAGAGTAACAAATATTTCATCCCGCCTTGTCATTGATTAGAAAAGAGCCTTTAATTTCATTTCACCCCATGTTGTGATTAATTTGCATTCTTTGTCAGAAGTTAATGGAGTTTTTTATGGTTCACTCTGAAATCCTTGAAGACATCAGACTTGATCTGATGTTTATACAACCGCCAGCGGAATTTTTTCGTTTGATTGATGGCAAGCTTGATGTTATT